CTGAGAAGTGAAGTTTTTTTTAAAAATCAAACTTTCCAAGCTCCGAACAACAGATATACATTTGAAATAGAGTTTTAACAATTTGTCTAGCAACACAAACTTATCCTACACTGTGATTAAATGATGTAAAGCAGAATCAAAATATTAAGCACTGTTGCTGTTACTGATAGAATTAAAAATTTCTTACACTTATCATTCATAAATCTCCGGCAAAACTCTTGGAACGTTCCTCTGTAGCTCATAGTCCGTAGAGAGCGATGAAACTGGTAATAAGACACTACCAGGTCTTTAGGATTGCGAGCCATGTATATTACCTGAGAACATGGAAATGATTTGTATTTCTGAACAATTTGCCTACATACCCACCCCAACCCCAAATTACAAAATATATAAACAATACAAAACTCTTTTAGCTGTTACCTTTGAATCTCCACTGTGTAGGTCTGAAGGCAAAAAACGATATGGAAGGTGGCTTTTGATGAGGCGGGGAGAGGTCAGCTCCTACAAAATGAATGAAGGAAAAGTCAGTCCTCCATATCCACGGATTCAGCATCCGTAGATTCAACCATCCACCGCTTTTTTTTTAATCCAGGAAATAAACCATTTTATATATAAGGGCGCCATTTTACTCTGTCATTCCATGTAATAGGACTTGAGTGTCCAAAGAGATTTTGGTATCTACAGTGGATCTGAAACCAAATTCCAATAAAGATCAAGAACACGCTGTAGTCAAGAATGTATTTCATCTTCTAACCAAGCCAGATTTGTCTTTTTTTTCATTCTTATTATCTTAATTTTAATCTCATATTTCATGCTCTCACTGTACTCAAGCAACTATTATACTGGACATTTGGTTCCTTCTGAAGCATGGATGGGACACACTCACAGACTACCAAATACGAAAGTAAAGACGAAAGTAAAATATGCAGAAATAAAATAAAAATAGTTTCAACAGATCAACAGTTTTAGCAATTACATTATACCTTAAGAATGTCCAGACCAGGCTGAGGATACTCTAGGACGGGAAGCTGCTCATCTATATTCATTAATCCAATTTCATCAGGATCAGCTCCTTGGCTAACCAAATATACTACTTCCTGCAATAAGCTGGTGCCTGCAAATGTAATAAAGAGAAAATAAATGCCTACAGACAAGCTTCAAAAGATCAAGAAAAATGTTTTACATAGAAAGAATGAGTGGATGTGCCTTCAAGTTGATTGTTGACACGGTGATCCCATGAATGTCATATGGCTTTCTGAGGCAGGAAGTGGTTTTGCTTCTTAAAGTGTGGGGCACAGCCCCAAATAGGGTCCCCTAAGACCCAAAAAACTGTCAACAGTAAACATTTTCTGAACTTT